AATGGAGTAAAAACTACTGGGACTATGAAGTTGAGAAGGTTTTGGAAAATGAGAGGGTTAAGATGTTACGGGACTTTAAAATCTAAACAGACAGTCATCTTGTTCATAACATGCTTGATGTAACAATTATTGACGAAACAAAAGTATGATTCACTGATCTTGCTATTCTGGATGAGGCCAGGATTGAGGAAAAAGCAATGAGAAAAAAATTATGAAATACTGCAACTTGCAATTTGACACTGAACATTTATGGAAAAGGAAATCTGTTGTTATACAAATTGTGATTGGAGCACTTGGAATGATACCTAAAGGATTTCCTTGATATCTGGAAATATTGAATTTATCAGACCTGAACCACCTTCCCTGGAACTGTCTATATTCTTAGATGCTATCTTAATAATTCTTAGGTCCATGGTTAGGACTTGAATTATTAAATTTCTACCAGCCTTTGACTATGAATCTAACTACAGATTACTCATACATAACAATGAATAATTGCATGTTGCCAAATCTTTCCAGACTCATGCAGCTAATAGCAAGACATCAAAACCCAATAAATGTACATAATAAAGTAAGAAAATCAATCCTTAACCACAAATAGTATCATAAGAGCAAAATAAAAACAACAATTGTAGCATAAGTAATACTCAGCTATAGATGTCAAGCAATCACTTGCCAAAGCCACCGTGAAAAAGTTTGGTCTTCATTTACTTCTGAAGCACTATCACCAAGGGGCCAGCCTTGTTTCTAGAGAGAGAAGCGGGGACGGGTTTAAAGCCCTGGTGCCATGATTGAGAAACAACATTTTCTGGCATCAGCTCCCCTCACTTCACTGCATTGGGGCCCCACCTTTAGGTGGAATAGGTGGCCCCGATGATGTATTTTATAAGTCAAAGTAGAACTTTGAATGGCACCAAGAAATCTACTAGTAACTAACCCACGACATGCCAGATAGAAGTAATCATAGCAACTACTGTATGCCAGCCAGCAAAAGGCTACTGCATTGTGAACCATCTGTCTTTTCTCACTGATTTTCAAAGGCATGTAAAACACATTGCAGAAGTTTATAGCCTTGTGGTGAAAAGGGAATGAATCGTTATGGTAGGGCTTTCCACTTCAGAATGGCCATAATTGGCTTACCAATCACCCTCCTGGCCACAAGAGCCAACAATCTATCCAGTTGTTGGAGTTCTGGAGACTGACAGAGAACAATATACAACTATGTCTTGCTACGTAACGTAACCTGTGTTGTTAGGGTTCAATTTCCACCTGTTTCATTCCATCAAGATCCCGACAGCCTTCAAACAGTGGGAGATAATTTATTCAGGATCTCCAATGAAATCCGGACACTATAAAGCTGAATATCATCAGTCTCTCATGGAAGGACCTCTCTCAGCAGTTCCACACACACATTAAACAGCAAGAGGAATAGACTGATTCCTTAAGCATCCCACAAGGAAGTGACCATCAGGCAGATATCTCCTTCCCTACCACTGATTGGAACTGCCCACTGAGCTAGCAACAGAACCACTGCAAAACAATGTCCTTGGTCCCCTACCTCTACAGGAAGCCTAGGAAGATTCTACCATTAATAATACCAGAAGCTGCAAGCCCAGTAATGTGCTGGAGTCAGCTCACACTGGCTCATGAGAACCAATGATTATTTTCTTTGGAATATTGCAAGCCAGTTGACAGCAGAGGTAAGCCTAGCATGCCAATCAGACTAGACACATAGCATAGCAGCAGTAATGGAGCGGGCAGAGTCAATCCTTAAAACATTTAGCAGCACACCACTGCCTATGCCCCATGCCCAAGCTTGAACTCTCCCTGAAAGGGATACAGATAATTTACTTTCTATGAAGTGCAGTTGAATCTCCACCATGCATTCAATGAAATTCTGTAAGATGGTAAGATAGGAGGCTGGGTTATAATTCTTCTCAAAACACTGCAGGATCCAAGGAGGACATCTTATGGACTGGGTTCACACAACAATTTCCTTCAAAGCTACCACATACTCTCCTGAAGAAAGACACCAATCCTCCTGGATTCAGGTCATCATGTCCATGTAGGAGGCAGGCAGATCAGCACCAAGATGCACTATTTCCTCTTTTACCTTTTTGTTCTATTTCCCCCCCCCCCCCCATATGATAATCTCATCTAAATGAAAACCTTTTCTTTGTCCTTCCTCCCAAATTCAACTGACCTTCCTTCACTTTATTTAAAAATTGTACATATAATAAAACAAAAATAAAAATAGCCACTACCACTAAATGACCCTACTAAAAAATGTAAAGAACATCCACTCCCTCACTTATTCCTAATCCAGATATAAATCAAATTTAACCAATCTTGGAGAATTTTCCATAATTTTGCTGGTACAAATCTCTTCAGTATTCTCAAAACTCTAATCTTTCTTATTGGAGGAATGTATCATTGAACCTTAAGAAACCCACAAACTACATGAGGTCAAACTCTCCTCATAATTATGCCATTCACAAAAATAAAAAGTGCTTCTTGGATGGGGAATTCCCATGTCTCTGTCTCAAGCAGGACGTTCCTGAGAAGAGAGGCTTTTAGCATGTCGCAAAAGAAGCCATTCCCAGAACCACTCCCTCTCCAGGTGGAACAACTTTTATTCTTCTGAAAACGACACAAAGTTCTCTGAGGGAATGAAAAACAAGCTCAGTACAGAGTCTTCCTGAACCTCTGAAAGATTATAATCTACATGAAGCTGGGAAAAGGCCCAAAGCAAGAAAGGGACTCTAGCTTCAGTCATTAGATTATCATAAGAAACTTATCGTAGGCAAGTTGAGCTAGAAATACTGCATGCAATTAGTTATATTTTGAAGCTGTGCATTTTTAGTGTAATTTATTACTTCTGATATGTATTGTCTAATGCAAACTCAGTGTTTTTGTCTTCTGACAGACTGGAACTCCTTTACAATAGAATTGGTTCTAAATAGGAGCAGGCCAGCATTAGCCAAACCTTTCTATTTTCTTATGGGAGATCCTTTTAAAATGCAATCTGAGATTCAGCAACTTGTTTTTTCTTTAATTTGCTTTGCCTTTGAATATTTTGCTTCTGACTATTTAAAGCCAAAAATAATTTTTACATTCTCCCTTTTGTTTTTAAATAAGGTTTTATTTTATTTGCCTCATGTGAGATTGATCCAGCTCCCCAAAAGGGGAAGAGGGAAGAACAGGCTATTTTCCATAACCAAACAAACCCCAATACTACATGGACAGAAGATGGTGCTATAGAATTTATCTGATTTATTTATCTCTCTGTTTTCTTTGTTTTAAATTGACCAGAAAGTGACAGAAGGTGAGAAAAGCTTATCCTACTTGTATGCCAGGATTAGTGGAGAAGATGCTAAGGGAAACATCCCCAGCAAGAATTGCCAAACTGCATACCAAAGCAGGAGGTGGAGCTAGACCCAGAAAGGAAGAAGAGCTGAGACTGCCAACCTTTCATCTTGCAGGCTTAGTCCTGCTGTCACAAACATATAATAATTAAAAGCACAAAGATAACACCAGAATCAAAATGGCAACCCCAACCCCAACACTGTACAAGTAGTCCTTGACTTGCAAGCACAACTGAGCCCAAAATTTATGTTGCTGAGAAATTTGTTAAGTGAATTTAACCATTTTACGACTTTTCTTGCCACACTGGTTAATTGAATCACTGCAGTTGTTAAATTAGTAACCCGTTTGTTAAGTGAATCTGGTTTCCCCATCGACTTGTCAGAAGGCTGAAAAAGGTAAGCATGTGACCCCAGGAAACTGCAACCATCATAAATGTAAGTTGGTTGTCAAGCATCCGAATGTAAATCACGTGACCAGGCAGATGCTGCAATGGCCATTTAGTGTGAAAAATGGTTGTGAGTCACTTTTTCAGTGGCGCTGTAACTTTGAATGCTCACTAAATGAACTGTTGTAAGTCGAGGGCAACCTGCATGCACAAGGTTCCCATGACTACCAAATGTGTGCATTATATGGTTCAGTCAGCACTGCTGGCCCTACTAAGATCTACTTTCCTGCTGGAGATGGCTATTCACCTCAGAAAGCTGGTTCCTTCTCCTGCTGTTCTTTGCTAGCCGTATTCATTTTTCCGCTCTGCCTAAAATATCAGTATTTTTCTTCACAAGGGTGAAGGGGGAAAAAAACAGGAGCTTTTAATTGGTTTTCTCTCTCCTTGGGAGTTTTAATCCAATACAGGTAGTCTTCAGCTTACAAAAATTTGTTTAGTGACTGTTCAGTTACAACGGCACTGAAAAAAGTGACATGACCATTTTCCACACTTACAACCATTGCAGCATCCCCCATGGTGACATGATCAAAATTCAGACGCTTGGCAACTGACTTATATTTATGAGCCTTGGTGGTGCAGTGGTTAGAGTGCAGTACTGCACGATACTTCTGCTGACTGCCGGCTGCCTGCAATTTGGCCATTCAAATCCCACCAGGCTCAAGGTTGACTCAGCCTTTCATCCTTCCAAGGTGGGTAAAATGAGGATCCAGACTGTTGGGAGACAATATGCTGACTCTGTTAAACCGCTTAGAGAGGGCTGTAAAGCACTGTGAAGTGGTACATAAGTCTAAGTGCTATTGCTACTGCTATGTCCCAAGGTCATGTGATTACCTTTGGTGACTTCCTGACAAGCGAAGTCAATAGGGAAGCTTAACGACGGTTAGTAATGTAACAGTTGCGGTGATTCACTTAACATGATTCACTTAACAACTGTGGCAAGGAAGGTTGTAAAATGGGGCAAAGTTCACAACACATGTCTCACTTAGCAACAGAAACTTACGATTGAGATCATAAGTTGAGGACAACTTGGATAGAGAGCGAGCAAAGAAACAAGACAGTGACAACACAGCAAAAGATGAAGCAAATCCATCCAGGGAGTGATCTGCTGAGATCCTATTCAAAGCCCCCTTAAAATCTGAAGTAAAATCTTCCCCTTCCAGCAAACTAGAAATCTCTTCCCATGGCTCACCTGTAGGGACTCTTGAGACTCCTCCGGTTCTTCAATGCTTATATGGAGTTGTGGAAGGTCTTCCACTGGGGTCATGGAAAAGGGGGCCATTGGCTCGGGAGCAGCAGCAAGAGGAGGCACCACAGGTAAGATCTCTGTCTCCTGGCGTGAGGGCCGTCCAATGGGTGAAGGGTTCTGTAGTGACTGAATGGTGAAAGTGGAGTACAGTCCGGAACGCATGTATTCATTTCGACTGCTACGTGGGGCACCTCCGCCTCCTCGTGGAGCTTTGGAGGTACCAAAAGCTCCTTCACCCCCTTTGGCCTCACCTGGGACCTGCTCAGTTTTTTTGGTACCTGCCTCATCCTTCGTGCCTTCTATGCTCGAAAGTTCCGGGTAAGAGACAAACTTGTAGACAAATTTCTGACCACTGACTTTACGGATGATATTCTGGAATGGACAGAAAGGATGGCTGAATTAGAGCAGCAAAGACAAGGTAATCCAGCTACATTTTCTTGAGACAACATTCTACATAACATTTTTTGGAAAGATATTTGAATTTAAAAATTGAATGTATTCAGAAATGAGCTAGGCTGATACTTTCTGACTTGAATAAATATGAGTTATTTGCATAACTTTGTGTCTTTTATTCAGCTTTTGGGACAGTTACGAATAAGGTGCACATATGTATCTGTTAAAGGAGAGTAGCTTTGAAATCTTCATACAATAATAATGCATAGATGGAGTCTTACTTTAAAGTATAGGTTTACAGAAGCAGAGAATGAAGATACAGGGATACCAACTCTCTTTTTATAAAATCTGATATTAGGTAGTTAAAGGAGTAAGGAACTTGTAGCTCAGATTAGCTGTTGCTGAATTCCCAACATTTGGTAATGACTGGCAATTGGAGCTACTGGTAGATTAGCAAAAACTGAGGGCCACTAGGTGTTTATGGTGTTTGCTTCCATTTATATATTCCATAGATTCAAAAAGTTGGAAGGAGCTGTTGAGGCCATCGGAATCTCCTCCTGTTTGATGCAGGAATCCTAATTTAGCATCCCAAGATAAAGCCTAGCATATCCGTTGGAACAAATACAGGAATTATACATTGTTAGTATAATTCCACTGTCAAGCTGCTCTTGCTATTCAGAAGCATTACCTAACCTTCAGTTGAATTCTGACTTCTATTGTATTTTATTTCCTGCATTCAGAATGACAGAGAATGGGTTTCGGCCTCATATGTATAAACCTCAATAGGCTTTCTTCCAAGGGGAAAAAAATCAGGTCACTCTGCCCTGGAAAATGGGGTAAAGGTAAAGATTCCCCTCGCACATACGTGCTAGTCGTTTCCAGCTTTAAGGGGCGGTGCTCGTCTCTGTTACAAAACCAAAGAGCCAGCGCTATCCAAAGACGTCTCCGTGGTCATGTGGCCGGCATGACTAAATGCCAAAGACACACGGAACACTGTTACCTTCCCACCATAGTGGTCCCTATTTTTCGACTTGCATTTTTACATGCTCTCAAACTGCTGGGACAAATAACAGGAGCTCACTCCATTACGCGGTGATAGGGATTCGAACCGCCAAACTGCCGATCTTTCTGATTGACAAACTCAGCATCTTGGCCACTCAGCCACCCCATCCTTGTTCTCTTACTGAAACACCAAACAATTTTCAGAGATTTCATATGAAACTTATCTTTCCAGGCATAAGAATACACACACACAAAAAGGGGGAGGGGAGAAAAAGAAACTTGGGAGTCTCAGAAGACAAGTATGTACATTTAGCATTTAACTCTTGCAAAGATTTTCAAAACATAGCCTGTACTCCATCATTTACTCCTTCCCTATTGATCTGTAAGAAAAATTCATCTACCCAAATATTCTGTTAGGTTTCCACTGCACTCTCCTTAATTAAGGCTGGGCTGAAATGGAAAGCAAAGCAGGAACTGGCAGATTCATCTGGAATTTACAAAGTGGTCTCTCACTTTGTCATAGTAGTAACGCAGGGCCCGGCTCAGCTTGTCATAATTCATGTTGGTTTTGTTCTTCCGCAGACCCCAGAGTCGCGCAACCTCTTCTGCATCCACCAGCTTGAACTCCCCATCATTGGATGTCCATGCAATCAGATGTCCATTGCTCTGCTGTTCCAGCAATTGCAGAAGAAACTGCCACAGAGTGACTGAAGGATCCATGACTAAAGGAAAAAAGGAAGAGGAAAAGGATAGCCAAATTCAGGGATACGGATTGTCGAAGGGCACAGTCCTTGAAGGTAACAAGTAAAGTTTGCAAATTAGAAGACCTCAGTAATAAGTGCTATGGTTCAGGTTGACTAGAAAGTGTAGGTGATGGAGAACTTCATTCACAAAGAGAGAGAAAAATAGTGTCAAGGAAAAAAATTGGGCTGAATCATTCTTTGACGTACTTGCTTTCTACATGCAAGGAAATGGGGATGAGGATGGGGTTCATTACAAAGCATCCAGTTATTCTAGCCTCCCTGATCACTCACAAATGTACTCTCACACACCCATGCTGAAGAGATAAAGTTAAAAAAAAAGTGTAACTACTTGATCTGGCTAAAACCAGTTTGGTGACTACTTCCAGATGTGTTTTGTAAGGCTGTCTCCAGTCTATTGAGCTGGGAAGCAAAGGGTAGCCTAGGATGGGGGGGGGGGAAACACTCCACAAATACCATGAACATCTTGGCTGCTTGAGAGTCTTGATACATAATGTTTAAACAAGCTATTGCTTCATGGCTTTCTTCAAAGACATTTGATTTTTATAGGGAAACTCTGAAGATAACAGTAAGCTTTTGTCCAGGATCTGCAGATTTAAAAGAACTGCAATCCTCAGCCTTCCTGGAGGGTGTTTCATCAGTTTTCAAGCAACAGAATGGATTCTTTCTTTCTTTCTTTTACACTGGACTTTTGAGTGCTGGGTGAGAAATGTACTCCAAATAGTGAGCCTAAGTTAGTGGAACCAGAGCCAAAAAGGTATTTCTCTTCATATAATTAAAATTTAAATGCATGGAATTTACCTACTTACTCCCTGCACTTTTATTAAATTCCTTTTATGTTACCTCAAACCTACAGTTCAGCAGCAGTTTTTGAATGAGATTTTGGGATAATGTGTAACTCTGGGAGCAATGATTGGAGATTATTGATATAATAGCACACACAGTACTCAAATAACCAAAAGTGAGACCAAAGAGCACTGGCTATGGCTATGATGTCACTCCCTTGCAGGCTTTAAATATAACTTCTATAGCTGTAAATGATTATTTGTGTAATGCTGTTCCTTTATCACTGGAAATTATACAAGCATCTCATGCAAAACCTTGATTTTTTTTTTTTTGCCAGATATAATCAGGGGGAAAATAATCTCTATCATCAATTATGCATGCAGTAAAATTTCATCAGTTTACTTCATCAAGGACTACAAAGATAATCCTTGATTATCCCAATCTTTGAAAATAATGCTACAACTTGTGCTGGGACATAACTATTAAAATAGAACAATGAGTAACAACAGAGCAGACACCATTTCACCCATCAAAAGAGCTATTATAACAGATGTCGCAATACTACCCATACACATACGGTATGTACACAACTGATATGGGTAAAAAACACAGTTTTGCTTCACAAAATGTCTGGAATCTGAGTAATACTCAAACAAACCAAGGCTCCCTCCCAAAATTAGCCCTGGGAATTCTTCCAAATGCCCTGAAGCAAAATTAATTCATGGAGAGTTAGCAGTCCTATTCAACACCACAAATACAGAGTCATCCTCAGGTTATTCCTGAAGAGCATTCGGCATTTTTTCGTCTCTCTCTTTTTTTAGAAAGACTTAAAATATCATATTGTCACCTGAACAAGGCCTCATATATCCAAGGGGAACAAGAATGTGATAGCAAGGTCTATCATCTTTTACAATGGGGTTGTTGAAGCCCATATCGAACTTTTGAGAAGCATGTCAGGGGCCAGGCCCCATAAAGTAGGTGAGAACAGATGAAAATGGGTGTAAACAAGAACAAAAGTAACTTTTGTTTTGTATTTTATATGAATGCAAACTGAATTAAAATGTATTTAATTAAGGAAGATTCACTTCCCTGTAGTAAAATTTCCCCTTTCCTCACATTAATTATTCTAATTTAATAGCAAGTTTTGGAAAGGTCCTTGGGATATCAAAGACTATTAAGGGCCTAAACAACCTGTGGGCTGCTGGTCATATATTCTTACTTTAGAATGCAACATTTTTTTAAAAAAAAGAGTTAATTCTAAATTTTCAAAAACAGGGGAGAAGAAGAGCTAAGGATTCATGTTTAAAGATCACTAAGTTAGATGACAGTGCCAGTTTATGCAATGAAGGCTTAAGCCAAAGCTTCACAGAAAGAGTAAGTTTCAAGAAGGAATTTGAAGGAAGTGATGACACCACATATAGATGTCTAGAAGGAATAAACAAGCAAGGAAAAGGCAGTTGTCTAATTCTTGTAGTTTTTAGTTCTGTAATCACTTTTATTCTGTCAATTATTTCTGATATTTAAAAAGTACATACTAATATCTATCCATTTCAGCCATCAGGTACAACGTAGGATGAGTTGATCCTACAGTACATCTGAATGCTCTTGTCCTACACTGTGTCTCATTCACACATAACCAAGAGAAATGTGTTGCAGAACAAGACAGTGTGAGGGAGTAAGAAAACAGAAGACTGTATGCAGAGAATATATACAAAGGACCTAGCCACAGGTCATTGTTAAGAAACAGATACTTAGCAGAAATATGTAAGTGGCAGTTTAATGGCATTTGCATATATATCAGCTAGATTTTAAATCATTGTAATTCATGCTACCATACCTTAGCGCCTCAAGCAGCAATCACTAATTTCTAAAATGGAAACACAGAGGTCAAAATTGCAGCTTCTGTTCTGAAAAGACATTTTTCAGCCCAAATGAACACTACAGAGTTGGAGGTATTCAGTGGAAACAAAATGCACATTGCATATGCTCCAAGTGGTTTCAGGAGGCTTAATCCACCTTCCCAAACCTAAATCCTGAACCACAACAGAGATAAACCCCATTCCTTTCTGAGGTATTGTATTCTATTTGTCATATGTATGCATGTGATTTCTATGCACTGTCATAGTGAGATACCTAGCCATCCATTAAAAAAAAAAGAATTAGCTTATGTTCACCTCTTTCAATTCCCCAAGAAACACACAAAATACCCAGTTTGTTGTTTCTGATTTTGGAGGAAAAGTATACACCAGGTCTGAGAGAAGAGTCACACAGAGTAAAGGCTTTTTTCACCCACTCATTCCTCTCCTCCTGCTACCTCTGCTCCACTTGTAAATGCCTATCTGGATTTGGCCTAAAGAAAGGATTTTAGGGCTGGATTTCATAAAAATCTCATCAAATGCGGTAATCCAGAAGTTCATGTAGTGAAGGCTGTAGGGAAAGCTGGGAAAGACTACAGGCCTTATCAGAAGAGATGGAGGAACAAGTAAATACTTAGAAGAGAGGTGGAAAAAGTCCAGAATTATTTTTGGCATCTAACTGACATGGGTGATGGTAAGAGCATTTTTGTAATCTATGTTTTATGGGATTTTATTGTATTTTATGTTTGATGTCTTGGTCCAAACATATCTTGTTTGTATACACACACACATATAACAAGTAGTACTTGAACAGGAGATCCTAATAAAAATAGCTAATGGGAAGACTCAAGATGTTTTTGTAGGAAATCAATGGGATGAAAGTCCCATGAACAGGCGAGATACTCCATCTCTCCTTTCCAAGTGAAAACAAAATTATTTTAAGGTAATGAAGCACCTGTGACAGAAATCTCCTCTTTGGCTGCTAGGAGACCCCATCACAAATGTCCAGCAAAGGGGACCACAAATAAACACATACAAGTTCCACCCTGTTTGCACATCAATCCTGTCTCTCTCTTTTTCCCAGATTTTAACAAGGATGGGTTCACAATAACGTGAAAATGACTTTAGACACAGATTGATAGGTAGAGGGACAGGTAATGGTGTGGGCCTTCTTTCTGTCACTTTCCAGTCATGGGAGTGGGAGGTAGTATCATTTGCCCAAAATGCTGCGCCCATCTTTTCCCAGGCTGCCTAACCCAAAAATCAGCTGTCAACCGGGAGGGGGGGATCGTTACCTTCTGGATCTCTAAGGTCTTAGCCTTAGAGAGGAGGCATGAACCAAGTTCTCTCCTCCTCCCTCCATCGTCTACTACTCACCAGTGAGCATGGCGGCGCCCCCCAACCCAGATCCCGGCGGCTCCATGGGCTGGGTAGGGGGGCCCAGCTCTGCCGCCGGGGGGTAGGTGGCTTGCCAGTCCGCTTGATGTTTCCCAGGAGAGAACGACCCGTCTTGGTCCCCTAGGTCCCACTTTTCATCACAGTTCTTCCGCTGGCCCTGTTGCTCTTTCCCACCACCTCTGCTGGTCTCACTTGAGGTTGCCGACCGCTCTCAAGTTGAGGCTCTCTCTCCGCTGGGAAGGATCGCCGTCGGGAGGGCTGGCGAGGCGAGCTCTCTCGCGTGGGGAGGCGGCGAAGTGTCCCCCGCAAGACCTTGACGTCGCCGGACCGCCTTGCCACTCAGCGTGGGTGCTCTGGGATGTGCCTGGGGAGGGTGAATGGGGGAAGAAGGTGCGGGGAGGGGGGGGAGAGGGGGCGGATCCGCTCTTCTTCCTGCCTCTGACGAGCCGTGCAGGCCCCTGGTTGCAGCGCCGGGGATGCAGCGGTGACGGCGCCTGTCACATGGAGAGAAGGCGGAGTCGGCAGCGGCCCGGACGCCTCGGTCCGTCTCCTCTCTGCCCGGGGCTGCACGGTGTCCGCGGGTGGAAGCGCTCCAGGCAGAGTCCCGGGTCACGTCCGAACCTCGCGGAAGACTGGCGTTAACCCGATCCCTGCTGGAGTGAGAGGCAGGAGAAATTGAGGGCGGCTGGATCTCCGGCTTTGGATCTCTCTGCTCAGGACGAAGAGATCTATTGAAACCAGGAGGCCGAGGGTTCTTTCCTGAAGCGCGGGGCTCCGGAGAGCCGAGAATCCCCAGGCTGAGCTGACCGCTCTGGACCGGCGGGCTGGAGACGGCGCCAGAACTACCTGGGTTGAAGATGGAGTGAGAAGATCCTGGCGCTCCCCGGCTTCTCGACCTGTTGGATGCCAACTGGGGGAGGAGAGATTCCAGGACATCTAGGCTTTACCTTTGCACGAGGAAGTCCGCAGGGGAGAGGGACGCAACTCCTTCAGCTGTGTTAGGACTGACATTCCCACCATTCCCAGACGCCATGAGGGACCCCTATTTGGAGAAAGCTGGGCTTGAAAGTTAGGACCCAGGACTGATATTTGGGGGGGGGGGGAGGCGGAATGTCCACTCCTCCGCTTCTCCAGCCAGATACCGCCTCCCCTCCGCCCACCTTGCGGCGGGGTAGATCTTGCCTTCGTGGCAGGCAGCCCACGACCTTCTCGCCCCCTTCGCCTGATCCTTACTTGCCCCGCGGTTGCCACGGCAACGGAAAGCCACCATGACAGCGGAGGCGAGGGAGGGGGGAGAGAAAGAGGTGGGTGGGAGAGAAATAAGACGCTGCCATGGTAACCTCTGGCCCCAGAAGGATAGGATCCTTCAAAAGACTCCATGCCTTTTTTAAAAGGAAGATTTCCCGGGCTTAGACTGGTTCGGGAAAGGGTCTGAAGGAGGGGTGATGACCTTTGGCCTGTTAGGAGGCAACATTTTATAAGATGAGGGGGAAACATTTTTAGTCTTCCCAAATGCCATCAGAATCAGGAGGAACAGCAAGGTCGTAGTTCATTTTTGCGATTAGTCATAGGGAATCTACTTACCACCGAAGCAGCTCATCAGTACAACACAGTGATTATAAACAAAGTTTTGGGTGTTTGTCAGGATTATTAAGGTAAAATGTTTAAATTGCTTTAACCAGAGTTCAGTGAACTATAATCTCATACTGATCTAACAAACAGAAAACCCTACTTTTCAATAGAAATTAAAGGATGTTGCTGTCTTTGCTATGCCACTGAATTCAATACACAGTACATCCTAAATCTTATTGAGCTAGACAGGCTTTCAATTTAGCAGTTTAATACCATTGGTTTTATTTATATGTGCAGCATTTATTACAGATTCTTCAATAGAATTTCCAGAGGGGTTAAAATTATTTAAAACATAAAAAAACATTAAAATGTTGACATAAATTTGCATGCAAATGCAAACTGGTAAACATGATACACAATTGGTTTTTATATCCCATTTCAGAAAAAGTCATGGTTTAAAAAGGACATTACAAATTCTTATAAAAATCAGAAACAACTAGTGTTTTGTATTCAAATATATAGGTTGAAGTAAAAAGGCATTTTGCATGCAAAAATAGTTAAATTTGAGATTTTACATAACCTAAAACAAATTTATCACAATTTTCAGCATTGTTGGCTCTGGATTGCCATTTAAAGAATCATCTTCTAAGTAGCTATCTTGGGAATTATTATTTGGTGTACTTGTGTTTGCAAAATCTTTCATCCAATCAACTTTTAGGAACTTGGGATTCTATTCTGATTCCCCAACCATTATCATTATTGCCCCTTATCTGGGATTCCTAAGCATGGTTTTGAGAAATTTACTCCTGAATATATATATTTTTTTACCTTTCCCTCCTTATCTGCATTTTTCTTATACATTTTGTCAGTCCCCCATTTCTCTTTTCTCCAGTTCCAGCCTTCCAGAATGCTGGCCTTGTTTGTTTTCTGGGCCTTGTACGTATCGCATATACTTGATTGCTGAGAGAAGGAACAGCACACTTTGCAATAGGCTTGAAGTAAATCCATGTTTTCCATTGTGAAGAACTGAAAAGTCAACGATAGAGGCACAGACATAGCTAAAATTATTGCTCTGTGCAAGATAGCAAAATCAAGATCAGTTTGTTCCAGATTTTGGCCAAGAAAAAATTCATGAGTCTTAGGAGGGAAACAGAATTAGGCTAGTACCATTTACCTCTTCCATTGTAATGATATATGAGAATTACCTTGGGAGATAGGAGGAAAAGCTGCAGACTAGATAACCATCATGCAAATTGTATCTCAGTTCACAGAAGCAGAGAGGTATTGAAAATGTTTCAGAAAAGACCATGGTTTTCCAGAGGGTAAAAACAAAGGAGAGAAATAATTTCAGACTTGTAAGAGTCTGTTAATGTAATCTTAAATATAGAACTAGTAATCGTTGCTGTGCTTCATGGATTATTTCAAAGGGCTAACATCTACCTTGTTGAGTAGCCCACATGCAAATGCTCTCAGTGCCTTCCTACTACCTCTCTTGAATTTAAGTAATGCATACCTCCCAACCCACCTATCACCTTAGCCACCATGTATTCACAGAGTTCTCCATCTTATTTACCTTTAACTACCAGTAACAGCCATGCAAGCTCCAGGTTCACTCCAAACTTACAATACTTTGCATATCCTTCAGTGGAATTGGATCAATCTACTGGGTTTATTCAGAGACTACACTTAAGCAGATCAGCTAAATACAGAACAGGTTCATTTGCACATGTTAAGCTTGGCAATAATTTTTATTGTATTAGATTTTGTTTTCTGAGTGGGGCTTAACATATTGGATAACCCAGCTTGTTTGAACAACGTATGATTTAATGTTGGTCAAATTGAGCTTTGAAAATTGTGATGAAAAGGGGAAGGTACACATAGAAAATGGGCTAACTCAATCAGGTGAAGAGTGTAATTCAGCCGCACTTCATCACTTCTTCCCAATTATCTTTGTTTCTGATTTATACATGGGAATCAGAATTTCATAATCAGGACAGGAAAAATTCCTTTTAAGATGTAGCTCTGCTGCATACTGTTAAGGCCAGTTTTGTCAGCTCTTTTGTTTCTCCCAGTAGCCTTTGGAATGTTTGCAAGATGAACATGGAGACATGCCCCTCATTCACCACTCCACCCTGTTCTTCTGGAAGAAGTATTTGGAGGCATTGTACTTCCAGCCTGGACATATCCTTTATCCAATGTAGTAAGCAAAAGTATTCACAATATTCCAGGTGCAGTGGTATCCCTGATTTGTATAAGGGCATTGCACTGGTTTTTCCCCCCCAGTATGTTAACTTGAAAGAATACAACTGAGGTGTATGACTGATGGCAGTTACATTTTGAAAGGGAGGTCCTCTCTTCTATGTTAAAATTTCATTATCAAAAAAGCAATAAATAATCGCAATCCCAAGATTGTTCAGTTCTATCAAAAATGTTCATAGAATCTATAAATCATACAAATATATCTTATTTTTATTTTTTTATATTTGATTTATTTTGATAGGAATAAAGCTTATAAACATAAAATAAACAAGGAGAAAAAGGAAGGATATCAACTTTGCATAAGTAAAAGCAGAGGTTATTCTTAAAAAATTAGAGCACAACTGAATGGAACAGATACTGAATGGAAGGAAAATAAGAGACGAGTCCAGTACAAATACAGTATCTTTTTTATTAATACAATTATTTTCAAAATGAAACACTAAAATTGGAATCAGACATGGGAGCAAGTTCAAAGAGACTCCCTCACTAAAAGTGGAGCTGCTCTTCCCCATCACTACCTCATGTCACTGTCTCTCATTCACCAGAGTTTCTCCTCACGCATGCAGCCCCGACTGCAGCAAAAAATCCACAATCAAATTTTCTTCTAGAAAACCAAAATTACTCCTTGTGAATCATAGAAGATGGATTCCTAGAGGAAAACATCGCTTCTGTTCTCCTCAGGCAGATCTTTGAAACCTTGCAGTTCACGTAATCCCTTCAGAAAGAAAAGGAAGATGAGGTTCTCTATTGATTCCTTTAATTTTCTTTTACAGCATAATCACTATCCCAAACTATATTAGAAAAAAAAAATCCTCTTTATTCCATAAAGGAGCTTTCTTGATCTGGTGTGGGACCAAAGTACCTAACCTCTTCAACCTGTATGGTACATGATCACACTAGTTATGGAAGATGGAAATAGCTATCCAACGTATCTGCCAACGTTGCAGTTTGGGGAAGTCAGTCATAGAACAGGAGCCTAGGAAAGAGCAGTTCTTGCTAATTCTGTGCAATTACTCTTTTTTCTTCAAGTCTAGTTCCAACCCACCATCATTTCTTTCTCTGCCTGCAAGAAGAATGAATGCCATCCGCCACATCCCCCCCCTCTCTCCCCCCACAGCAAAAACTTTGCTGACCACCTCCCCCCCCCCCCCCAACCCACCCCATATTGGCTTTTATTCTGGCAGAATCTTTAGTAAGAGTTTCACTGAGCCTGTTAAAAAACAGAAAAAATCCACAGGAGATAATAGAGAAGGAAGGGCTGGCCTGGTAAACCATAACAGCTCTTGACTGCCCATAGATGAAGATAATATGGCATACAGGGAGGACCTGTAATTTTATAGTGCATGCTGGAAAATTTATCTGAATATGAATAAGAATGCAATCCTACACGAACCCATCAAAGTTTAAACTCCACTGAATACAAACATGGATTAAGCTGCACAAAAGAAAAGGACATCCTTGTTTCTACACAAGAGACTTCATCTATGCTTGCTTGGCTCAATATTTTATTGTTTTATATTTTATAGTTTGCTGGAGCCTATCAAAGTAAAAAGAGGACATGTCCAGATATGATGTAGAGTGTAGTTGCTCACAATTCAGGCTCATCCTTCACAGAATTGACTCCCATTTTCAAAAGTATCCAAGTTATTGATGTCACTTCATTGCCCATTTCCAACTCTACACTGCCAAGAAGTCATTTTAATTGTGGTTTAGTTTTAATTTAGTTTGGTTATCATCACAATTCAATTACTATTCCTATTTCACAAATGATCTATTTTCCATTACCTGTGGTTGGAAATTGCCTTTACACTTATAGAAATACACTTTTTAAATGCAGTGGATAATTGCATTACTGTAAGTTATTTTGTGAGCCAGCTGCCTGGAAGCATGGACTGAACAGGAGGAAAGAATTTAGAAAAAGTATTCCCACTAATGGCTAGTATTTAAGGATATATTCCAATTAGCAAAATTATACTCCATAAGTTCCAGATTCAGAAACTGCACTGAAAACCAGTTTAGGAGCCAATCTTGCTTTTAATCATACATTTGCAGCCTCCTTGTCCTTTCAATCTCACTTTATAAATACAATACTTTTTTTATAAAGTTGTAGCAATGACTAATGATATAGCTGCATGAAATTTATACCAACGTGATAAAGATGCACTATTTACATTAATTTACATGAGATGACATTCTTTCCAAACCCTGTGAATGTAGTTTTGGGATGGCCGATGATTGTCATATTCCTTAGCCTCATGCACAACAATACAAATTGCAGATTTTTCTATGCCAGAGTGACTATTAACCATGTTAAGTCAGTAATATGTACATTCTCTAAAAGAATATGTGGATCTACTGAATCAAATATTTATTTAAGAAATTGGTTATACTATAATCTAGTCTCATCTTGTACATACATTCAAGAAGCTTGTTCTGCTTATAGCAGCCAGTAAATATGCTACTAAATAACAGCTAGAGGATACTAACTCCAGGTTTTACCAAATAGAACACAACAGAGCAAAGCATCTTTCAGTAATAAGGTGAGAATAGAAAATATAAAGGCTAAATTCTTCTACTCACTCATTAAGCAACTTTGTCTTCTTCTCAATGAAAGTTAGAGCCTCTGGTAGAGTCAGCTCCACAAAGAATCCATAACCCAGAGCTACAAATATGGTTGATGTATCAGGCCTATAGGCAGGAAAAGGAAACTGAATACAATTGGCATTTAATGTATCCACAGAGATAACAGAAATAGCAACTGGGATTCTGTCTGCTGAGGAGAGTATAAAAGCTCAGGTCACATGTTCTGCTAAATTACATGAGTTTGTTTCATTTTGAATTGTACAAATCTAGCCATTTATGATTTCTCTAATAAAGGCTAAGAAAACCATGGTTGCATGTTATGTGAATCCAATCACAATTTATATTATTAAAAAAACTGCAAATATATCTCAAAGAAAATGAGCCATCTCTTCCTATTTTCTTCATGAAAGGTAAATGGGCAGACACTAGGAAGATTTGAAACGTAAAATATACCATGTTGAGGTAGAATATACTAAAATTAGTTAATGAACCAAGAAAAATCGATTATACTTAGCATACAATGTAATACAGTAAATATTTCCTTCAGTTGAGATCAACCTCTTGGTAACTACATGAATATTAGCTCTGTTGGAAGCAAAATGAAAATGGTTTGCCACTTTCTTTATCTGGGACTTTTTTCAAGCTTCCCTATCTAGCTTCCAGATCCAGGATTTCCTGGTTGTCTCCTATCCAAATACTATCCAGATCTGTTTCCTTATTAGGATCTTTTGGATTAGTCAAACCCAGCTAAATACTAACCCTGCTGTGCATCCAGTGTTTCTTTTTCCAGTTTTGAAATATTTGGGTGACAGCAGTATAACCGAAAGTAACAAAATAGATGAGATGGGTTACTTTTTTCCTATAAGAGGAAAAAAAATCTAAGAGCAGGAACACAAAATGAAGAGTTGACTTTCTACACTGTTTTCTATAAACTGTTGTACTTCCCTACCCCCATACATATATATATATGTAAAGTTAGCTTTCCAATATATTACATTTGTATCACTGTAGGATAACATAGAAAGAGAGCACCATGCTGTCCATTAAACTACTAATACCTTTTAAGGGTGCCTCAACATTCATGGATGATAAAAGAAGAAACAGTTGAAAAGAAAAGAATAGGCAAGACATACAATAGAGTGCAATAACAATCTGCCTGGTGAATTTAGTCCTTTTTGTACTCCCAAAGGTGCTTTTTCAAGAGGCAACTGAACTGTTTTTCTTTGAAGACGTATTAACTTCTCATCCAAGAAGCTTCTTCAGCTCTGACTGGATAGTAGGAAATGGAAGGATTTTTGTAACGTTTCAACAGGGTTTATTTCTTTTCTGTTCTTCCTAGCTACTTCTTCCCCTTGTCTTTATTTCTATCCAATTTTTATTTTATTTCTTTCCTCTCCCCTTCCCAGGGTAGTTCCATATTCCCACATCGTGTGGAAGGAGAGAAACATGTTCATGTGTATGGGTTATATTTGAAAATAGCAATTATAAGTAATCTTTGGCTTACTATCATTTAATGATGGTTCAAAGTTATGATAGCCTTGGAAAAAGTGATTTACAATTTGTCCTCACAGTGACTGTCACACGATCAATTTGTGATCTTCCCAGCTGGTTTCTGACAAAAAAGTCAATTGAAGAAGCTGGATTTGCTTAACAAAAATGGTATTTTATTTTTAACTAAAATAAGTAAATATAAATGTAAACCCAGATCTGGTGACACGATGGCTCACTCTAAGATCTGCTCTGATAGAAATTCCTGTCCCAATTGTTAAGTCGAGGACTACTTGTAAGCTTGGAAATAGCGTTCACATATTTTAAAGACTATTTATGCTTAATCATTTTTTAAGTCCTGAGAAATTATCTTTTTCATCAACAATTACCTATCTTTATTAAATATTTTTCATTCTTATGCAGAAACTTCCACATAAAAAATCTTTCTGGATGCCAGAAAGATTTTGTGTTTTTGTTTGGCAAACACAATCTCTTTCTGCTTACAGTTAATGTGTGTTCACACTATCCTTGGCCCTCTGCTATTGGGAAGGGGAAAGAAAGAAGCGTTACTTCACACTCAGCCACCTGTCTTTATACTGGGCAAAGCTAGTGGGAAAGCAGCCTAAATTTGGCTCTTGTTCTGCACATTATCTTTCAATGCACAACCTTTTGTTCTTAACCAAGGATGGGTTCATCTGGGGATAAAATATCCACAAATCATCAGCATCCATTCGTAATGAATTTGTAGATTTCATAGCACTAACATTTAGGGAAAAGCTGAAAACATTTTTATATCATATTTTCCCAGGATGAAAAATGAAATTTTAATTTTAATTTATTTATAGGGAAATTTGGTTAAGAGAGTTAACTCTCTTCAAACACATATTCTGACAGATGGGGTGGGGGGAACGAGGAGAAAAGACAAGACTTTCACTGTCTCTTCTGACTATGCCTTTTTTTTAATGTTCCATCTATTCATTTCTAATGCATTTCTAATTTGTTAAAAACAATGCTTCTTAAATTAGCAGTCACCTCACACAGCAAGATTGGCAGCATATAAATTTAATAAATAAATGTATATGTACAGTATGTATTTTTTAAAAACCCTGGATCTATTTTTTAAAAAAAAAACCTGGATCTAAAACATGTTATTGTGGAGCCCAAAGAGTTTTCTCCAGAATGTTTTACCACTAAGAATAGCCTGAGTGCATGACTCATCATTCTGAGCATGTTTCCTGATTGAGAGGATGGAGAACCAAAAGTCCAAATCATACAGAGAAATTGCAGCAATTTCCTCAGCAGATTTACCCATTAATCCAACAAGAATCTTTGATTAAATCATTTTTCACACTTCACTGAGAGCTTTTTCATGCAATACAACATGAAAATTATGGCTTTAGAAAAGATCTGGATGTTTTCTTTGGAGATTAGCCTGCAAATTACAGCACACAGTATATAAATGGTGCTCTGTAAATAAAGATCAGCTTTTACAGCTATTCTATGACAGCCTAAGCAAACAGGAAACCCTTTACAAGAACTTAGCAGAGGTTACTTTCAAAATTTTAACTTGGAAACCCTATTGTTCTATTTTTTCCTTACATTTAAAGAACAGAATTTTAATTTTCTGATTTTTTTTAACAATGTATTTCAACCTTTTGAGAAGTGTTTCAGGTTAAGAATAAAAGATTGGACCATGAGAAAATGTATAGACTCATTCTGTTATAATATTATAAATCAAGCTATATGATACTAGTATAGGGGCATCCAATGGTAGGAGTCTCTAGACAGAAAAAACAGTTTTCAGTAGGAAATAGATAAACCTGTGAAGACAAACTATCAAGGATTAATTATGACCATTATAAAAATCTCATAAGTATAAGAAGAAGAGAAGAGAATTAATGAAACTATATATAATGAATATATATAATTTAAGGCAAAAGAAATACAATTAAACAGAAGGAAAGGGAGCAGTAAAGAGAAGTTGGGAAAGGATATGAAATTGAACAGATAAGATATATATATTAAATTGTGTTTGTATAGAAATGTGATAATTTGGAATTATCTTGTTTTTAAATAAGACATTCTATGTGTTTTTTTTAGAAAAAGATATTTTATGTTACTACATCCTATGTTTTGTTTGCTTGTGTATGTTTTTTAAAAAAATTAATAAAATTTGTTCAAAAAAAAAATCTCATAAGTATTCTATTGTAAATATTTTTAAGAATCTTTGGCAGGAACTTATCTGGCCTATTTTAAAATCCAAACCATAACAAGATATTTCTGAGTACAAACAGTCCTTAATTTACAACTACAACTGAGCCCAAAGTTTGTATTGAGACATTTGTTAAATGAGTTTTGCCCCATTTTACAACCTTCTTTGCCACAGTTGTTAAATGAATCACTGCAGTTGATAAGTTAGTAACACGGTTGTTAAGTCAATCTGGCTTCATTGATTTTGCTTGTCAAAAGGCTGCAATAAGTGATCACATGAACTTGGGACACAGCAACAGTCATAAGTATGAACCAGTTGCCAAGCATGGGGAAGTAGCAAAGGTCGTAACTGTGAAAAATGGCTCTAAGTCAGTGTTTTCATTCCCACTGTAACTTTGAATGGTCACTAAATTAACAATGAGTTGGAGTGTTAAGTATATTATGTAAGTTATTAAATATTTTATTTATTACATTGTTTTATCTAATTCCAAATTAGATTTATTTCTAATTTCCTTTTGGGCCTTTTGGTTATAAATAAAATCATATCAGTTGCCACGGACGAATAATACAAGAAACTATAGTGTTTATGTTATTTTCATTTTCATAGTCAATCGCTGTGGAAAACAAGATGCCAGTCCAGATAATTATTAATCCAGCATGTAATTTGTTTATCCTCTTCGAGGTACTCATTATCCAAAATCCTTCAAACTTATCACTCACACACAGGTAGATCAAATTAGTTTTATGAAGAATATTCATTACCAATAATAATCAGATATAAATTTCAAAGTGCTTTGTATATATAATCTCACTACAAAAATATTATTTCTATTTATCTTAATTAAATCCTTCAGACTTTAACATTTGTATGATTGGCTGTCATTGAAGGAGTGCCATCTTATTCTCAATCATGAAGAAAGTTAAATAATCAGTGAATAAACTGTCACAATTGATTTGACTGCCACTGCAACAAACTTAAGTGCTAGTAGATACTCTTACAAGAAAGAATTATACTAAATAGCCCTCTGTCTCACTTCAACTTTTACGATTTTACCAGTTGGTGTCTTATGAAAGTTATAAAAATACCAGTAGTATTTTAACTGAATTTCTCAAAAGTTGCAGTACATATAAAAACATAAAAGGCCAGAAAGTTGTATTACATTGGATACATGGAAGATCAGTGAGCTACTCACACTTCTGCATTGACATAAAAATGGCAGCCTAGATCCACTTGAGTTTTCAGCTCCTGGCTTCCTGTTTCCTAAAAGAAAATAACCAATTTACCTGGGGCAGAGCAGCTCTTAATTTTCATCTAGTAGTATCTACTACAACAGAGGACTACATCACATGATTGCAAAGTAGATAAACAGTATATTTCATAAAGCTTTCCAAAGTAATTGGCAAGATTTTTGAATTACCTGTAAACGTTCAATAACGTTCTTGAGTTGCAAATACTGAGCAATCTTTTCATAAATTTCATCTCGCTGCTCCAATACTTTCCTGTAGGGAAATATCAATGTCTGAAATATCCTTATCAATGACTAAGAGACCTAATGACACACAACAGGTTAACTGCAATGAGGTAAGTAAAAGGAGGACTTGGAAAATATTTTTTTAAAATCACTCACTTAAGGTCTCTCTGCAAAACATCACTGATAAATTCTTCATACTGAAGCACCTTCTCTTGTAGCTGCTGTTCACTAAGCATCACCTTAAGACTTCCACAAAAAATATTAGTAAACAGATCCTGGAGGAGAAAATAATAAAAAGTTAATTGGAACAAATAATATCTACAAGTGGGAAAGAAAAAAAAACGGATTTTGAAAAGGTAGTCCACCCAACCTGCTTTTGCAAACGATATTTTGTAGGCAAATACACCCCATTTTTCTCCCCATCATTTTCCCTCTTCCGGCAGTTTTTATAATTATGTAATTGGAATATTTACCCCCACGTAAACCAGGCCAACCCATAAATACACATTCAGGTACAATAAGGTCAGGGTAGAATTCCTAGTCCTTTCTCGAAAACTCAGAAGAGGCCAAGCCTGCGATTTACACAGGTCGTACTTTAAAAGCGAGGTTAAGTCTCTCTCGGACTCAGGCTCGCTTCCAAACACTTCAGAAAGGAAGGGAGTTAAAAGAAGGCAGCAACTTTTGCCCTCCCCCGTCCAGTGAAAGCCGCCAAATGTGGGGGCCAAGAGTTGCCCGGGACAGAAAAATTAAAGCAACGCTCTTCTTTTCCTGCTCTAAGAGCGGAGGCGGTTCCGCTCAGCTCGGCGTCTGAGGAGAGATCAAGTGGTTTTATTTTCCCACTGTTTAATCATGGGGCAGCCTCGTCCGACCTGGTGAACTTCCAGATGTGACGGCGTTTAGTTTCCAATAGAGACTGGGAATAAGGAGAGGGGCACCAATTAAGGGCAACTATCCTGTTGCCATGGTTTTTTTT